TAAAACTGGATCATTATCTCTTCTAGTTTTTAAATACTTGTTGAGACACGTTTAAATACTTGTTGAGACATGTTTCCCCTTTGTATATTTCCATAGCAAAGTATATGAAATATGTGGGGATATGCTTTAATAAAAGTCATTAAATATAGAAACGAACGAGGGGAAAAGTTCGAGACACATTGCTGGTTTACTCTTCATCGAATTTAGAAAAAGAGAAAAGAGAAAGAGACTGATCAGGGGAGCAGTCCTTATAAAGACGAGAGTGTCCTTAACCTGCTTCGGTAACGCGGTACCGTAAACGTTCCGATGGTAATACACCAGTGACGAGTAGAAGAGGAAAAGAGAAAGAGCCAGTTTCGCTGAAGATTTCATACCTTTTATAGTCAAGACGCAGTTTCGGTCTCCTTAGGAAAGAAACCGAAACTCTGATGAAACCGCACAGATTCCGGGATTGATTAAATACGTCGCTTCGTCATGTACCCTTGTGCTCCTCTCTTTTTTTCGCCAACTCCTCCTTCTCCTTTCTATCTTCCTTTCCTTCTTTCTACTTTTCGTTCGTTTCCCTTGTCGCCTTTACTCTCATTCATTTAAACATGACTCGGAAAATTGTCCAAAAAAAGTGCCTACATATTTACTAATTTTTGACTTTTTTTATTTTCATAAACATTGGTCTTTATTATTACACAAAATTATCTTTTTCTCTTACCCTGAATTTCAGTGGATTCAAAGCACTAGTATAGTTAAAAATATTTTAGAGAAATAATTAAACATAATTAGAATATGTACAAATTCAATTTTAATTATTCCGCAAAATATATATTATGTACTGTTACTCAAAATGTTTATCATGCATTACGGCTTTGCGAAATGGAAAGTGCATCGTACTTTCGCAGATGATTCTGAAAATATAATACAACGTGAATATTCTTTTTTTTTTTTTTTTTTTTTTTTCTTTTCTCTAGTAGTAATCTCTATACACGTATAATAACATCGTATCGTGATCGTGATGCGTGTGTCTAAAACCCGTGATAAATTGTGCAGAAAACGGCGCACTTTAATATGCTTCAATTACTAAAGATTTCTGCATGCGCAAGCAATGGTAATAGTTAATAACTTTTAAGAGCTTGATGATTGTTGATTATGTAAAAACACAGAATTACCATATCATTTACGTATATCAAAATGCAGAATTATCCAGATTTAA